AATAGCTGGAATGTGTATAGGGATTGGACATGTTGGGGGGGGTTACCCCTCGGTCTCATTTCTTGCTGGGTATAGGTGAAACACAGTATCAGGGCTCTAGTCTGTCCACTGAAATATTCAGCTCTTCGTCAGGGTTCATTGAATCAATTCATTTTACCTTGGTGTCACTGAGAGAGATGGAATGTGACAATACAGGTGATAGACCCGTGGACAACTATCACAGCAGAGGAGGTCCCCACCGTTGTGACACACGGCGCACCAGTCCTCGTTGGGATCCGAGTTGTGGCCGCGGGGCGACATGTGCTTACCGCCATTCTCTTGGCAGTCATTCAGGTGCGACTGCTGAGGGTATTCCTGCAAATATCCAGGGGATTGGAGATGTTTAGTTATCAATGTCAAATTCAACTCAAGAAGGCAGCATTCAACGCTTTGGACTTTTAAAAGATTGCTTTTTTTGACAAATTTATCGTGGGGTCATGAAACCTTTGAGTAGAATCAACAACTGTACCTCTGAATCCTGAATGCCTGGCTCCTGTTTGATCTTGACGGGAGTGTCGTTTCCCATCATACAACTGCTGCGACTTGACTCGTCCTTGAGGACAGTTTGGTGCGAGTCGGTTAAATCAAGGCTACTGAAAATGAAAGGCACCATCAAATGTTACACATCTTGCAAAGCACTGATACCTGTGTTTTGAAGAGGTACAACATGCCATACTTATTTTCATCCGTGTCCATGATAAGAGATGAGCAGGTATTTATAGAGCTCATTCCTATGACATCCAAACATACCACCCAACCCAACCCAACTCAATTCAACCCCAGCTGAAACAACACAGTTCAACCCAGGTTAACCCAGTCTGGCACCCCAACACACCCCAACCCAATTCCACCTCAGCTGAAACCACACAGTTCACCCCAGGTTAACCCAGTCTGGCACCCCAACACACCCCAACTCAATTCCACCCCAGCTAAACCACACAGCTCAACCCAGGTTAACCCAGTCTGGCACCCCAACACA